TTTTTTTTTTTTAATAAAAATTTTTTCATTCTCTTGTACTTGAAATATGCTATGATGAATTTGAATAAATTTAGCAAATTTCATTTCAGATATATTTTTATTTAGAAAAAAATATTTTAATATACTTGGAATATGGCATATATACTTCTATTATAATATAGAACTCATATCTATTATGATGTTGAAGATATTCATGTTTTTCTATAAATACTGTTTATATGATGAATCCATACAAAAGATACCAATTCCATTACAGTGTGAATTCCTTTACAGTGTGGCGCACTCACTCATGGGAAGGAGCGCTGGGCACGGTTAGATGATACATAACATCATCAGCATTCAAGAAAACCTGATCTAATTGCCATGATGGGCCAATTGGATTTTTCTTAATTAAAGAAATAATTAATATCCTCCGTACCGATGTATACGCTGTAGACATCGATTCTATTTTTACTTCTACCTTTTTAATTCTTTCTCAGACCACTAGGCCGGGTGCTTATAGACCAATTTCTTGATACAAAATTACAGTGGCATGATTTGGCTAAGCCCCCGGCGCAGATACCAGGTCCTGACACGGTAGATATCGGTTGTCTTTTTTTCATTCTATTTTATTTTTCTTAATCGTAACTCCTTACTAGTATCTCTATTCCCGGTGCTGGGGCTAACATATATGGAGTTGGTCGCAGAAGAGGACAAGCGCATGCAGGGGAAATGAAGAATATCCCCGGGTATACATCGTTACTGGTAACTACATGAACTCGACAAGCACCATATATATAAATCCGTCTTCAAGCTCATGAGAGATTTTCTTTTTCACGAGGCCAATTGTATTTACTCAGTTGATTCTTGGGCAGAAAAAGTTTTTTTTTTTTCTTTGTAGCTCTAGTCATGCAGGCCTGCAGTGAGCTGCATGCGTTGTATGTATGCAGTTCATGAGGGTGTGTAACCTGAAAGTCAATTGACGTATGCAGGTCAAGAAGCTGAAGCTGAGGGGAAATATCAAATATCAGAAAAGAATTTACTCGGCCAATTAGATGATGATAACACCTGAGAGATAAAAACATATTGTCCAGCAACAGGGACCTTCTGCAGTCCATCCTGCAGGCACAGATCGTATATAGCTGCCAACCATCTATCTCCACACACCCTCCACCCTCCTCCACTCTGTGCTCTCTCTCTCTCTCTCTCTTTTTTATTTTATGCCGGCCCAGGGCCCAGGGAACCGCAAGCAAAAGCGCCACCCATCTAATTACCCTGGGTGGACCATACAGAGCAGCCTCCGCATCTCAGCAGTTGCTGCAGAGTCCGGAGTCTTGGGCCGTCAAACCGTGTAGGCGTCGTGCTTCGGGAGGATGACTGCACGCCCTCAAGCCATGGATTAGCCTCTTCCCAGCAGTTTATTCGCCCGCCCTTCGATGCCTTTTCGATGGTTTTTCTATTTTGATTTTTCCTTTTTTTTTTTACTTTTTCTTTCTTTTCGGCTTGCTTTTTTGCTTTTCTTTCTTTTTTCCTCATGCTCTCTCTATCTTACGGTTTCCGTTTTCAATCATCATCGTCTTTTTTTCCCCCTCTGTTTTCCTCCGTTTTCCGTTTTCTACCATGCGGAGGTTTTATATATACCGCGATTCCCTTGTCCTTCGAAACAACCGGCTGCGCAATGCTGATGGAGTGATTCCTATTCGGAAGTGATTCCAGCCGCGCACTCATTTGCGGTCCCAGGCCTCGCCACTGATTTGAACTCCTGCAACTACTCCAAGGTTTGCTACTAGTTCAACGACTACGGCTGTTAAGCTGCCGTTGTGCTCGTCAACGAACCCACTGCGATTGCTGCTGGCGCAGCTGGCAATGCTGCTGAATGGTCCTGGAGATTGTCCGTGGCTGCTTACAGGGAGAACTTATTTCTGCTTCTTCTCTTCTTATTTGCGCATTCTTCCCTTCCTCCTCCTTATCATCCTCCCGCTGATATCTGCGCTGTCCTGTGCTGTTCCCTTTTTCGTCCACCATCACTGTACTCCGTACTCCGTACTCTGACAGGGAGATACCTCGCCCGCGTTCCACTATGGTAAGCTACGCCCGCGCTATCTCCATGCACTAAGTTACCCCGGCCAGTCTCTGCGCCAACGCCAGCCATCGGCTTTTCTTGTTCAGGATCTTTTTCTTTTCTTTTCTTTTCTTTTCTTTTCTTTTTTTTTTTTTTAGTTCCAGACAAACCCTGCCTTCCAAAACCTAGACTCGCCCCCTCACCCCAGTCAATACATTCCCCCCTCCCGGGGCGAGGTCTTTCCCTGAGGATTTTTATAATTGTTTGATTACTCGCCGTTTCATTCCCCTGCTTCGGCTCTTTGCCTTCATCTTGGTCTCTGCTTTCTGACCCATCATCTCTCCATTGCTTCGGGTCTGATGTGGAAGCATCGAGCTTCGTCCAGGCCCGATCCCGCCCCGAAGGACAAGGACGAGAACCCTCCTCGCCCTCTCTCCAATCTTGGCCTATTTGGCCGTTCGAGACGATCCTCGCGGAAAGGTGGGTTTTGGCTTAGGGGGATTTTCTTTCTTACTTACCTATTTCCTCCGCTTATTTGCATCGTTGTCTCGTTGTCCATGCTTTTCTTTTTCTGCTTGTTGTCGCTTTGTCTATGGATATACCTACTTCACTCCCTTCCCCTCCCCATCTCCCCTCCCGTTTTAGAATTGACTAACTTCACTGAAACTTCCTGTATACATGCCTCTGCTGCTGCATTTCTTCCGAAGGTAGTGAATCTGTCTAGCATTGATCCATTGTTGTTGACTACGTTCGAATTCATTGATGTACTTTACCGTGTGCTGATACGGCTACCTGCATTGTATTACCTCTCTTTCTCCCCGCCCACTGTCTGCCCGTTGTTTGTTATCTACCTACACCCGCATGGCCTGATCAGCATTTTTCAACCTGTCAATCTGTCATCAGTCGAATCAATTATCTTCTGCTGCTTCCGTACTTCACTCAATTGATCAGAGTAAGAGGCAAAAGTTAACTAAGCCACCACTACGCACCATCTAGACCTCCCTCTCCAAATCAACCGTTCCAGCAATCGACTAGAGCCAACTCAGTCAACTTTTTTATCCGTTGATCAGCGCCCTCAAGTCTCCTTCTCCCGGTCAGTTCCAGAAGAGCTGAACCACTCAGCGCTATCTCCGTTTCTGCGAACCTCGTCCAATTCGAATCTCCGGTCACTGTCGAGACTTGTGCATTCTAAAGGATACCGCTCGTACCAAAATCACTCTCAGACGTCCTTCAACTCGCGATCGGACAGGTCGATGGCGGGTGTGATGGATGTCGAGCGGACGCGGCCACGGAGGGAGAGGACCTTCGTGGGTAGCGAATGCGCCGTTTGCGAAAAGCCGTTGGAACATACTCTTCGCGGAGAACGCATTCTCCTATGTCATGTGGCCACGTTTCTCATGAAGCATGCTATTATGAGT